AGAGAGAGAGAGAGAGAGAGAGAGAGAGAGAGAGAGAGAGAGAGAGAGAAAAACAATCAACGCTCAAGAGAATGCTCAAAAAGTGCTTGAGAAGATATGTGAATTTTTGTTTGTTTGTTTGTTTGTTTGTTTGTGTCAAGCATATGTGTATAACTTATCGTGTGCACATTTTGGTTTTTCAAAAAAAAAACCAATGAAAAAAAGCAATATATACGCAAACGCCGATGACCTGATCATCCACAACGGCTATATAAAATCAAACACTTTACTGTTGTGCTCGTTCTCTGTTTCTCTTGCTGTTGCTGCGATAAATGGATGCAATTGGAATCACATTGCATCGATTCATCAGTTTGCTTCGCGTTCGACGTTCAGTGCTCGATTATCAAATAACAACAATGAAACAAGGACAACATTGATGACAACAAAAGCGCAACATACGAGCGGAAAAAAACTACGGAAAGAGAACAGCAGTTCTGTTGCTGCTGCTGCTGCTCAAAACCTTTATGGAATTTATAGATCTCTTTTTTTCATCACATTTCGCTTAATATAATGACAAATAGTTGTCCAACACGACATATGCATTGACTATACACTGCTGCTTAATGTCCGTTCTGTATGATTTGTTGCGCGCACGTTCAGTTGCTCGTTGTTGGTTGCTTTGTGGTGCGCCAAAGCTAATACGGTTTAAATAATTGGCAGCGGTTCACTGCGATTCAATAACTTAGAAATAGACTCTCTCGATTGATCGGTTTAAAGTGGAACGACGTCAATTCATCTATATGTGCGTTCATGCTGCTGATCGCTAGCTAGCTTGGGCGATGAAAAGAAAATCAATTTGTTTTTGAAATAATTTTAGCATACAATATATATAGATAAATCAATCAATTACAACGAAACTAAATTACTCACACACATACACGCTGTCAAGCTAGAGTGTTTTTGTCTTTCGTACACGCTGCACTGATTTTCTGCTCTTTTTGCACCAGATCATTCTTTCGTTGTGCGATCGTTTAAAACAATTTTAATAGAAAATTTACTGCTGATATACATTCATGATAGCTCGTAATTCGCCTTTTTAATTCGCCTTTCGTTTTTCTTTTCTAATTTCGCAGTGGGACGAAGGGAGCCGTGCTCAAATGAAGGCGAAGAAGTGGCAGTTGATTCAATCAAAGATATGAAATGTTTCAAATGTATTTGTCAGGTAAGTCATTTCAAATGAATAGATAAAATTTTGCGTCAGAGAAACAAGATAGGAAAAAAACGAACAACAACAATTACAGGAAATTCGTCACCTTAAACGCAGACACAATCGAATATTATGTTTCTACGAAAACTTTGTGAATCAATCGCTGAAATGAATAAGTCAAAGGTCTATTCACACATATACACTCATGTGTCGCCATAAGCAAAGCAATAAAATTGTTGGAGAATTTCAATGGAACCAACGGAAAATTCATATCAGTGCAATAAATCAGAGCATTGATATTGCATTGCATGTGCGACAATTGAGACAACGAAGAAACACCAAACGTATTTGCCTGTTGTTGTTGTTTTCCATTCTACTTTAAGAATACGCCATAGGTTCTTCGCTATTTTAGCCTAATTGAATACGAGATTTAGACGAATAGATAAGCATTTAGCGCTTAATGAACTTGTTATGCATTTCGGCACTTGGCAACATGCCGGGTTTCTATCTCTATTTTTCTTGTCCCTTACTCTCAATGGGATGAGAGAGAGAGAGAGAGAGAGAGAGAGAGAGAGAATTGTACCGAACTTTTTACGGTTGCCATATAGCCAGCGTCGTCGTCGTAGTCGTCGTCATCGTCTTAGGTTCGAATTAATATCGTCGAATACCTGCTGGGCAGTCACAAAACAATCCTATCAATGTACTTGTACTACGTGGCGCATGTATTGTGCACTGTGCACATGTAACATGTTCATTGGTTTCTTCATTTTTTTCTCTACACCCATTGCTATGTCTCAGTTAGTCGCAGGCGGTAATTGTATTCCACAAGCAGCTTAAAACGTAAATGGATTCTAGCTCAGGTCTCCAAGTGTTTATTGATCTGTGTGTGTGTGTGTTCGTTTTCGTTTTTCTTTCAAATTTCTTATTTAAAACGAAACCGTCCGAAAGAGAGAAAGGCCCATGCAAGCGGAGATAGAGAGAACAAGTAGACGAAAAAAAATGCATGCAATAAGACACGAAAAAGGATAATAAATGCTCAATAACCTGCAACGAACAAAGAGCCCCGTTGCCATTTTTATGGTAATTTATGATAGGCAATCGTTTACGGATTTTCCCTTTTGCACATATTTTGAACGTGATTTGTTTCCCTATTATATTATTAAGTTTACCCGAAAAAAAGGGAAAGAAGAAGAAAAAAAAAACAACCACGTAGGTGTCTATTGTTTTTGATGTCTTATTTCTCGTCTCGTTCAATTTGCTTTCTGTCGGTCGTTCGACACTTCTTGAAATTGCCAAACTCCATTGATGAGTTTTTTTTTCTCTATCTACCTTTGGTGTTCACCTTCTCAAAGTCAGTCGAATTGATTTTTCAGTGCAAAACACTTGTTTGTACACTGTCGGATACACAGAGAAATCAACTGAGTGAGAGACGATGAACGAAAGTGACAATAGAGATAATATGCATCAACAAAGCACATCAATTTAGACATTCTACACACACGCACACATATACACAGTGCTGGTTCGAAATGAATCTCGGTGCCGTCGTCGAATTCAATAAACTTCTTACCGATTTTTGTCAATATTTCCATTGCCTTGCTTTTCTTTGCTCCTGATTATTAGCTATGTGTAAAGTTGTTTTATTTTCGTTTGCTTCTTTCTATCATTGTTTCGTATTTGTATTAGATTGTTTTCGAGATGCATTTCATTTTGGCTGGCGCCAGCTCTTATTGTTTTACGCCGATCATTTTCTCCTCTTGCTTTTGTTGTTGTTGTTGTCTTGGTTCTTTGGGCCATATTTCTTTCACTCTCCCAGTGTGCCATTTCCGATGTGCACACGTTGACTGATGCATTTTCACTCGGCACAAATGAAAATCGAACGACGGGTTCAATTATATAGTTGTGTGTTTTATGTTTCTCTAAATCACCATTTTTCATGTGTTCATTTACAAAGGAAATTCCGTTTGCTATTGATTGATTTTCTCTCTCAATCGCCGATTCGATTTCCTTTGATCAGAAATCAATGAGTCTGGCCCGGAGACCGCCTCTTTCTCATTGCACAAACCAATTCATTCGACGTTTCATGTTCTGCATTGGAGAGCAAAGTGTACATTTATTCCATTGCCCCATGATTATGGCCAAACATAAACTGAGAGAGAGAGAGAGAGAGAGAGAGAGAGAGAGAGAGCGAGAGAGAGAGAGAGAGAGAGAGAGAGAGAGAGAGAGGAACCAACAAACGGTAATTTTAAATGATGTTTCAACAATTTTCTAATTTTGTCATTTGCATTTATTAATCATCAATTACGATCCGTTGCAAATGTTGCTTATGCAATATACGCTGACGTGCAACGTGGATTTTTGAGCAATTGAATAGAGCGACACATTCGATTTGATATGGCTGTTTACTTATTTTGTTTTTTGCCAATGAAAGGCTGCATACCAATGCAAATGAATAATTAGCTGTTTTGCCTGAATGATAAATGAAACCAATTCCGTTAGACGAGCCCTACACACA